GAACAACCTTTCAAGGTTGTAGCGAAGATTGTCCCCTCATCGAAGAATACTTCATAAATAAACTTTTAGTGACTCACATCAACGAATCCCAAAAAATGAGAGGATTCTTAGACAATCCTTCGATTTATACTGAGTTGCTCTACAAACACATTTATCAAGCTCATCAAAGGTGTGACTGATCACTCCTATGAGTGAATTAAAATAAGTATGTGCTTGAACTTTAAGAGTAGCAAGGAAAACATGTTAAAAGAGCGCGTCAGAAGCTAGTTGTATGTATATGATGGTTCCATAATCATCAATACGTTCATATAGGTTAGACATCCCATCACAAGAATCAATATTCATAAGCTTAAATCTTATTAGAATAAGGTATTGAAGGATGATCTTAGCCAATGGAGAAGACCCTTGAAAATACGACGAACAGAGAAATTACTTTTATTCTTTAGAGTATACTTTTTTTTTGTATTAGACGACGTAACTTGTGACGAACAACGTGAGATTGAGCCGAGTTCAAACCTCTAAGCTTGACTGTACGGGATGGATGTGTAGAGCTGATAGCATCTAAGAGATCAACTTCCTCAGGAGGAATTTCAATGTGTGGAGGGAGTGCTAACAGTGTACTTTTAATCAGTAATTTTAAGATAAATGCACCTCTCTGCAATGCACTAGAGGATTTCATTTTGAGAATCCTCCATTTTATACACGACCTTCAAGAGACGCAAAAGAGATTCTTTCATCAATTAGATGAAGTATATCATTGAAGAACAAAGCAAATGCTTGGCGTCCCGAACTTCAAGATTGTATCGTGGAATGGCGAGTATTAGAGTGAAAAACTTGTGTATTGCTTTGTTAGTCATTGAGGAAGTGTAGAATTCTATAAACAAGACTATTTCTCACAGACGGCGCCAAACTGTTGTATGTCTGAAGAGTCGTGGTAACGGCTTAGCATTGAATAAAGATCAATCACACAGATAAATGAAAAGTAACATGATGAGAGACTAATATTTTGTGAAAAAATCCTAGAAAATAAAAAATTATGGGATCAAAACTAGTCAAAATAATCAACTGTGTGACTATAATTACATAGGTTCGCTTCTCTCTTGAAATAGGAAAGATGAAATTATAAAGTTGATAATTACATATGTACAATATTTTTTAGCTATAATAGTCATAATTGGACTACAACAAATGTAAATGTTAATTGTAATAACAACAGTTGCCACAAATTTCGTAGTTTGCCCCTGCAATCGCAATAATTGGCCACAAAGGTTGTAGTTGATGGCTATTATAGTGGTAGTTGGTCATAGATATCGTAATTAAAGATTATAACAATAATAGTTGGTCATAAATGTTATAGTTGGTTGTTATAAAGGTAATAATTGTCCATTGAGATGACAGTCGACGACTGCAATAGCGACAGTTGGCCACGAAGGTTGTATTTAGAATTATAACAGTACTACTTGGTCACAAAGAGCGTAGTTGGTTAATACAAAAATAGTAGTAAGCCATAAAGGCTATAGTCGGTATCTGCAATAGTGGCACTTAGCTACAGAAGTCGTAGTTTAGAACTTTAAAAATAGTAGTTGGCCACAAAGATTGTAATTGGTTGATACAAACACAGCAGTTTGTCATAAACGTTATAACTGGACTACAACGATTAAAAACAGAGGTCAGTAGTGATTGATGGTCGATGGCGATAGGGGGTGTGCCAAACTTTCTACTTTAATTTATAAGTTTAAAAATTCCAAAATTTTAGTCTATTTGCAAGTTTAAATTCATCAAAATTATGGCAGTTTCCTAGCGTCAACCCCCCTTTAGGGGGTGTGTGAGAATGTCATGTTTCGCAGCTATCTCAAAAGAATCATTGGTCAGTGTCATAAGATATTGCGGCCAGGGAATAAAAAAAAACATTTAACCCGCGATCTCAAAAGACGCAACAAGCATTCAATATACCAGCAGAAAGTGTTAGGTTACAAACTAACATCCCCGTTTCGACAACCTCCCTGTGCCAACACCTGCTAGGGGGCACGGGAGTGTGCAAACCTTCCTAGCAATCTCAAAAGAATCGTTTGTCAGAGTCATAGAACACTGCGGTCGAAGAGTCAAATCAAAATTTTTAATCTGTGGTCTCAAAAGGCGCAATGGGGGACAAAAATTGAACTTTTAACTCACGATCTCAAAAGATATAATGACCTTCAATACATCTGCAGAAAATATTATGTCATAAATAAACATTCACTGTTTCAAAAATAATTCTCCAGACGAGTTCGCGATTTCCCAGCCAATAGATACGCTGCTCTCCTCGAATGGAGGTTTTCAAAAATTTCATAATTGCCCCACCTTTATACCTTTTCGAGCCTCGATGGCATTGACGACAATGACGATAATAGAATAAGATAACATTCAAACACATAATTTCTTTTTTTTTATTACAATTATGCAGTATGAACAATAAATAAACAAGTAAAAGAAAGACTTGGCTCAGTTAAGCTAGCAGGCCAAGGATTCGAGGCTCGAGCTTGATTTCATGTGCGGGCTCAAACATAATTAGCAACGGAAAGGAGGCAAAGGTTGATTTTGAATTTTAATAGGAAAAAAATTTACTTCAGCTTAGGGCAGAGGATCGCACGAGGAGAGAGCAGGTTTACAACGTTGATTTCGTGAATGAAGGTGAGGGATCGCACTTAGGCTTTCAGTGTTCGGTTCACGTGAACATGAGAGGAATAGAAATAGAAGCTTTGCGTGATTGGGAAGAAGGTAAAGACGGAATTGCAAGTGAAAATTTCAAGTTTTTGTATGTTGTAATCCAGATATTGCTCTCCCAATTTTGTAAGTGCAATGATATTACAAAGTTTTCGAGCACAGGGAAGAAGCGAGAAAGGTCGTGAGGATCCGACACAGAGATTGCGTGCCGCCCTTTTTTTTTAAGGGAAATGTATGGTTGATGTGAAGATGAAATATGGGGAGAATAGTGGTGTGCGAAAAGTAAAGAAGAAACACTTAGGAAATACGCATAAGAGATTATTTTTCTGTTGTGCAGCTTTTGATCAAGAAGAAACAACAAGGAATATCTTATGCGGCTTGTTGCGGCAAAGGGCGAGTGAGAGGGAAGCATGGAACCGAATAGAGTGAATGAGGGAGAAAGGGCTTCATTCCTTTGTTTGTAACTCACGAGGAAAGCGGGAGCAGTAGGTGTGTCAATTCATGTTAGCGGATCATGTTCGGGTCCGCTCGAAAATGACCTGACCAAAATAGAGTCAACCTGAACCTGAACCTGAACCAAATAATAAACAGGTCAAATTCTCTGACCCGAACCCAACTCAAAAAATATTTGGGTCAACCCGAACCCAAATTTTTCAAGTTAAGTTCGAGTCGTGTTAGCGTGTCGGGTCAATTTTTGACACGGATGAAAATTTCGACAGCGGGTAGGGTTTAGGTCAGACCCAAAAATGACCTAACCCAAATCGGGTCAACCCGCATCCAGCCCAAATAATAAATGAGTCAAATTCTCTGACCCAAACCCGACTTGAAAAATACGAGTCAACCCGAACCAGGATTTTTTTGAGTCATGTCGGCGTGTCGTGTTTTCTCGAACGGGAGTCTTCGGCGGGAGGGGGAGAAGTAAGCAATTACTTAATTAATTAATTAATTAAGTTCTTATTTTCTTTTTGTTTTTTTTCTTTATATCTCACGGTCAACAAATGCCCCCCAACAAATATGGTGCGTGTCTCGAGCGAACCATATTTGTTGTTCTCCTATCTATGGTCATTTAAACATGTTGATTATTTACTTTTTATTGCAAAAAATGCAAATTTAATAAAATAAAAATTGTATAGACTACATTACTAAATTTATGTGTTGGATGTGAAATAAACCAAGTAAGAAAGAAATAAAAGTATTATTAGAGATGTTATAAAATTAAGGATAAAGTATAGAGAGATTATAAAATAAAAAATGGATATAAAAAAGGCAGCTAAACTTAGGTTATTTGAGAAATTTTAATGAAGGAGAAGAGATACAATAATATGACATATATAGAATTAAGAGGAAAAAAATAAAATGGAATAGAGTTGAGTTAAATCATTGACATGAAGAAGACTGCAATAGTCGGCACGTAATGATGATGAGCTCTTTATAGCCATGCATAAATGGTTGACACGTAAAAAAGGTAACAAGTTTTCAAACTTGCCAAACATCAGTCCCACTATACCAAAAACATAAATTTCACGATTTGGTCCATCTTAAAAAATGCCAAAAGCAAAAAATCTGTAAATGGCGCTTACGAATCAAATCACTAAATACTAAAATGTGAAAACAGGACCTAAATGTTTTGTCTAAGTATTTGGATCAACAAATTGGTCAATCCTAGAACTAGAAAAAAAATTAAGGAGCTAATTAACAAAATTATTAAAATTCATCTTTAATGAAAAAAAAAAACTTACTTTAACCAAATTAACTTAAATTAACTTAAATTTATCACACTCAAAGATTGCACTCCAGTCTCCATTGCTCCCTAATTGAGTTTCATGAACCACCTAGACAATAGATCAATAGATAGAGGTGATACATGCAACACCATTACCTTGTGCAAAACGCCATCACTATTCTACTACTTCCCAACATTAATCTCCTCATCCCTCTCCAACTTTCCAAAAAATCGCCCCTGTTATAAAATTTTGAGCCCAAACTTATACTGTTGCATCGTGAATTGACTGCCAATTCACCAAATGATTTGAATAATAAAATAGAAAATTGCATGATAACTATTACGTAAGAAATTTGCATACAAAAAGCAGCACATGAACATAAATTATCTAAGTTAACTAAATTTGATGCGCACCTCTGAATTCTATGAATGGAAGGAATGTAAATAGTAACATTCATTGACGATAGCCAAGAATACACCAAAGAACTGGAACTTGTTGAAATGCAAAAATAAAACTATGAAAGAACTGAATATCTCAAAGTTGGTAAAACCATATTAATTTAAGAAATCAAACCTGTGATACAGGTGCATTGTCATCGATAAATGGAGCCGCGAGACTTATGAATGAAGCTTCACCTACACCCACAAGCCTAAATGCAGTGACTTGAGAATTTAGTAATAGGTATCAGAAAAAATTTATATTTTTCTTCTATTCATTCCAAAAAAGAAAAAAAAAACTTACATTCTGAATATTGTTATTGAACCAAAAATCAAAAGCACAGCCGCAACCAGCAGTAGCCAATGTCCAAACTGAAAGACCAACTCCAATAAGCCTAAATGGATTGATACTGGAAACAGTACAAAAATGATTCATCATTAGCCAAACAGACAACTAATCTTAATAATTTCGACATAAATTTTAGTGATAACGGAGTTAACCCAAAGCATGACCGAACGGGCATAAATATAGTCATAAATATTGTGCATAGATCTTTTTGCAAGGCTTCTGGGCAAATTAATTTAGGGCATCGGTTTTTCTTTTCCTCTAGAATCCTTCTATATTAATTCTATCAGCCCATTTTATTAGTGCCCATTGTATATATCGAACCAACATAAGTCCTAACATTCATATAATTTTGGCGATCAAATAATCAAGGTGATTAATAAGTGCATTTATTTTGAAAGTTTTTTCATATATTTACGACATTTAATCATTACACATCATAGATCTACGAATTAAAATCCTAAATTACATGTGGCTTAGATTAGATGTCAGTGGTCATCTATTTGAAAAGCCAGAAGCCATATATAGGTACGACTGATTTTAAGAAATAATAAAAAAAATCTATTCAAAACCAAACTAAACCGGTTTCAAAACCTAGCAAATAAAGTTTCTAATTTGACAAAAGAATTGCCGCCAATGACCTTTCCCAATGTGTAATGATTCTGCTCATCATAGTCATTATTCTCAATTGAGAAAACTAACTTTAGAATATTAACTTTCTTGCCTCTCTCTCTCTCTCTCTCTCTCTCTCTCTCTCACACACACACATCCTTCCTTTAATGGCAAGAGGAAGCTAGAAACAAGCCCTCGGTCCCTTTGTTAGTCCTAAGCCTTAAGTAGCCTCGGTGAGTCTAACTTTGAGTCAAAATAGCCGTAAGCTCCGTTTATCGCCAAACATTATTGTGTTCAAAGCCAAGTCATAAATCTTTGATCTTCAAAGGCATACTCCTTTTTTTGTCGGGTTTAAAGCTTGATTTCATCTCATCACTTATTGACAATTAAGCTACTCAAGCAATATCATCTCACAACTATAGTTACTGCAAGTTTCCTCCCATTACTTCCATAATTTTTTCGTATCCAAAAGGTTTCCCAATTTAGTTGACCACAATGTAATTACCACACATTTTCATTCACTAGCAGCAATTTTGATGTCAAAATTCTATTGACGCCTATTACAATTTGAGTCTATGATCCCCCGATATTTTATTAAGAATATTAAGTAACAGTATTTTATAAAGCATTAATTTATCGACTAAGTAATTTAGGTTTCCATTTGATTTATATATTGAAGTGTTTCTTTAGTGTTTAGGGATTTTAAGCAAAAAAAATTGTCTAGCGTTATATTAAAGCAGCGTAACAAATTACACGTCTTGAGGCATACCTTGAAAAGAGGCACATGCAAAAAGTCTTGAAGCTACAGCCTCACACGGAGAAAAAAAAAATGTGTGTGCATCAAAATAATAAGGTGCTATTAGGTGATTTAAAGAGACGTATATAATCAACTGTGATGAAAAAAATTAGGAAAATGTTGATACAATTGAAGAGATATACTATAAAGCAATCAAATAAAGTGATAATTTAAGTGATGGGCGTGGAAGTGACTTTTATACAAAATACCATGTCATAATTAGTTTATTATTGAATACTTCTACTTATTTTTTAGAATTATAATCTATGTTTCTTGTTTATTATAGAATTATTGCTTATTATTGAGTGTTTATATAACTATTTATCATGTAACAATTTAAAACTATTACTCTTAAGTCATAAATTTTTATTTTTAATACTTTAATTTATTTAATATTTATAATTTGAGCCTTACGCCTTAGCTCAAGAATAGAAAGATGCCTAAAACATCAATTGCATAATTTAACTATTGATCGAGTGTTATTCACACAAGAGCGAAGTTTCAAGTTTTATATATATGTAGGTAGATTTAATTTAATAGAAAATAAACATTATTTTTTTCTTAGAAGTTGAATCTAAAGAATCCTTGATGTTTGTAAGAAGTTACTTAAATATTTAGTTGATTCATAGTTGAACCTCTCATATTAAGCTATGTTTGCACGCTTAGGTAAAGATTTTAGTACTTAAATTGTAATATTATTTAATTTCTAGACAAATCTATACTGTTATCAAATCTATAAATTCAAATATTGAAAAAAATCATTTGGTTACAAAATTTATTCTCATGCTACTGCCTTAGCTTAAATACAAAAAAACAAAATTTCATTTTGAAGCTCGCTTTGGTTATAGTAGATATAAAATATTTATCAAACACTTGCTCGACATATTTTTAAAATATGCATGCTTATTGGGTTGCTTGAGATATCTTTAAAATATGCATACTTATTTGCACTAGATGTAAAGTCAATAGAACCCTTTTGTAATTGGTTAGCAGAGCAACAAGTCCACAAATAATGATTCTTTTGGGTATCAATGAATTTACATGGATTAAATATATAGCAGCATCATTAAACAAGAAAAAATGCTAAAAATAAGTAGATGAAATGTAAACTACAATACCTTTCAATCAAAAAAAGGACTTGAAAAATGTCAAAACACCACAAGAGTACACAAAAAAAGACATCAACAATCTTTCAAAAAAGTTACATTTGATTCACAAATAAAACTAGAATTATTTGAAAACAGGTTCTTAATGAGGAGGTGAGTTATGTTTTAAAATTCTAAATGAAGAGCCAACCTTTTTGCTAAGGATGCAAATATTGGAGATGCTACTAGAAGTCCAACCATAAACGCAGATGAGAGGACACCATCTTCAAAGTTGCTCAGGCCGAAGTCACCTCTGCAGCATGCATTTAGTTAAAACAATGAACCAAAAGGTTTTAGATTAAACATGCATTAAATATTTGACATAACATAGATGTTGAAGAAGCTCCCATTAAAAATGCGCTGGATATGAAGAACTTTTGAAAAAAAAAAAAAAATGAGCGTGGTGACGAAAAAGGCAACCCAAAAAACAGCTTTTATAATTTCATGAACAACTATTTGGGCAAAGATCAAGTTTGAAATGCAGGCTTCTTCTGTTACAAGAGAATTTCTTTGCATGAAACTTCAACAAATCAAAAAGTCAAAAGTAACTAAAATAACTTGAAATCTGCAAATACATCTCCAACACACGAATCTACATAAAATCAATAACTGATGATGGAAACTTGGAAATAATAATATTTCCTGAAGTGTCTACTTAAGCCCACATCCTTTGAACAGGGAACTGCATATATCTCCACCAAAATATTTATTTGCGAAAATTTTATGCAAACTTCACGAAAACTGCCTTATAGATTTCATAAAATGAACTGTACAAAACTTATCAGGAAAAAAAAACCTCTTGTTTGATTATAAAAATATTAGCGAAAATCAGCCATCACTACCACAAATGATTTCAGAACCAGTAGTCTAAGGGAAGTATACACGTCTCTAATAACCAACCGAGCCCTTTATGCTTTTCTAGACTTTTCCAGCATAAGTATTATATAGCGCTCGCTTAAGCTAAGGCTGCTAAAGAAGCAATTTGGGGGATTTCATTCTCACGGGCTATTACCTGCTCAATGATTCTGTATTGCATAGAAGGTAAGTTCTGAAACAAGTTCTCTCTCCTCTTCATGGTATCAGAGCATCGCCTGGATCAGAGATCTTGTTTCCCTTGACCACACGATGGTGGACTTCGATTTTAACACCTTCGGTGTCGAGGGCTTAACAGGAAAGTATTTCCTACACTTTGCCCCTACCCTGAAATGGATGAATTAATAGTTGCTGAATCCCAATCCTCTCTTCTCTCTATACCTAGTGCCAGCTTCCCCCCTCCCTGAAACTCTTAATTTTCCAGCTCAAACATCTTATCCAGAATCAACTTACCACTGAAAACTATCCAATCTGGAGAGCTCAAATTCTGAAAACCTTCTCTGCCAATGGATTTTCTGATTTTTGGACAACAGCTTCCCTTGCCGCTCACAATACCTTGCAATCAACAATACCAGATCAGAGAATCGACATTTTCAAATGTGGACCTCATAGATCAAAACCTAACAGCAACTCTCTACTCTAATATTTCTTCAACAAAACTTCCATACATCTTACACCTACATGCCACAGCAGACATCTGGAACAATTTAGAAAGGCAACTACAACCTACCAACAGGTCCCGAGTAATTCAGTTGAAAAATGAGTTACATCACATTTCTATGATGGAGAATACTATGCAACAATATCTAGTTAACATCCAAAGTTTGGTTTAGAAAAAACAAGCAGCTGGCTCCATAATCCCTCCAGAGAATGTCATCCTATATTACTTACTGGCTTACCTTCCTCCTATAATGCCTTCAAAACTTCTACTCGCACTATGCTACAAACCATTGCACTAGAAGATCTCCACTCATTACTATGCAGTGAGGAAATCCATATTCAAACCGAAAATGCCAAGAATGCCGCCTCAACTCAATCTCAAATGGCGCTCATGATCTCTCGAGGAAGAGAAAGAAACATATAATAGAATAGGCCGAAATCAACGTGGATAAAGGCAGTCCAATCGCCCATCTATAACCTGCCAAATATGCAATAAAACAGGACATTCGGCATCTACTTGCTAGCACATAACCAACAAAGATTACACACCTATTGTTCCTCCACAACTTCTTGCTGCCACTTTCAAGGAATGGATCTTAGACTCGGGGTTGACGACACACTTCACCTCAAACATCAATCAGCTCCAACGTGCTACTCAAGACTTTGGCGCCGACCAATTCATCGTTGGCAATGGGCAAGCAGTTCCGATTCAAAATAAGGGAGATGGCATCCTCCCTACCCCTCATCGTAAGCTCAAACTACTACAAATTCATCATACACCATCACTTTCTCACAGCTTAATTTCTATTCATAAACTCGCTAAAGATAACAACCTTACTGTTTTATTTGATTCCTCTGGCTTCTCCATCTCTGATTCATATACTCATCAGCCGATTCTTAAGGGACTCAGCTCTAACTGTCTCTACTCCATTCCCCACTCGACACATCTACTACAAGCATTTTCATCCTCCATCCCCCACAAAACAACAATGGGATCTTTGGCATAGAAGGTTGGGCCATCCTCATTCCGACATTGTCTCTGCTATTTCCAAAAGACACTTTACATATTATGTCCGCTTCTAATTTCTGTAGCACTTGCACTATTACTAGAGTCACAAACTACCATTTGTATCGTCTATAGGTCAAAAATACAAACTACTTGAGCTAATACATACTGATGTATGGTGTCCATCCCCAATCCTATCATACCATGGTATATTACATTACCTTTTGTTGATGATTTTTCTAAGTTTTGTTGGGTATTTCTCATGCATACTAAATCACAAACAACTCAAATAACACAAAACTTCATTTCTGTTATTCAAAACCAATTCAACACCAAAATAAAAAACGTACGATCATATGGTGGACGTGAATAAAATAACAATGAAATAAATCAATTCCTCACCAATCACGGTATTCTCCACCAATACTCCTATCTATATACTCCAGAACAGAACGGGGTGGTCGAATGCAAACATCGATATCTAATAGAGTCCACGCGTCCCCAATTACATCAAGCACATGCACCTTATAGTTTCTAGACAGATGGCCTCCTAACGGCAGTTCACGTCATAAATCACATGCCCACCAAAACCAATCCTCATATATCTCCCTATGAACACCTCCATAAATCCCCACCACAATACTCCCAACTACCCATTTTCGGATGCACATGTTGACCATGGAGATGGCCCCAAGCTAAACACAAACTTGAACCCCGATCCACTCAATGCATATTCTTGGGTTACTCCTTACAATGCAAGGGCTATAAATGTTACAATCCAACCACCAATAAATTTATCACCTCGAAACACATGGTATTTGATGAAACCACACTTCCTTTTCAAAAAGCAAACCCCCCAATCACATCAACCAATTCCTCTCACTCTTCCACCATCCCTCCATTTTTCCTTCAACCAACATCCTATCTAAAGCCCACAACACCTACGCCTAACTCTTCCAATATTACTCCCTGCTTATAGGAAACTGCAACACCTACTGACGCACCTACCACTCCACAACACCAACTTCAACCCACACCTATACCGACCCATCCTATGACAACAAGATCAAAAACATAACACCTAAAACCTATTCAAAAATTAAACCTCACACACCAAATCCAACAACCACCCGATCCCACATGTTTCTCTAAAGCCTCCAAATATCCTCACTGTAGGAATGTCATGACTGAATAGTTCAATGCCCTTCAACGCCAAAGTACTTGGAATCTAGTCTCCCCGGCGACTAATAAACCTATACTTGGCTCGCGATGGACTTTCACCACCAAACTAAATTCTCTTCATCAAGTCACATGCTACAAGGTCCGCCTCGTGGCTTAAGGTCACAAACAAGAGTATGGAGTAAACTACCAAGGAACCTTTAGCCCGGTAGCCAAACTTCCCACCATTCGTATCCTTACTACAGTGGCTCTTCATCACAATTGGGACATACTTCTCTAATGTTTTTTTCCATGGCACATTACATGAAACCAAATATATGAAATAACCACCTGGATTCCAAGATTCACAGCTTCCCAATCATGTATGCTTGCTAAAGAAATTTATGTATGGACTAATCCAGGCTCCACGTCAAGGGTTCATCATTTTCTCCGACTTTTTCCTTACAAATGAGTTCCAATTCAACAAGGCAGATCCATCTCTTCTTCTCTACCATCGGCATGAAATCCACATATTTGTACTCATTTATGTTGATGATATACTAATTATCGCAATCATCCCAAAACAATTTCACAGTTGAACGATGCCATGGCTACCAAATTCAGCTTGAAACATCTTGGCCCCATTTGATGCTTCCTTGGCATTGAAGTTCACAAATCTGAGAATCAGTTCTTTCTAAGTAAACAAAGGTATGTTCTCCAAATACTTTACACTGCAAAAATGGAAGACAGCTTACCCATCAACACTCCCATACCAGCCTGTCAATTCGCCTCTTCCCTCTCAAGCACTCCCTTCCAAAATCATACTTTGTATCGCCAATTGACGGGTAGTCTCCAATACCATATGGTCACTCAACCAGACAATGCTTATGCGGCAAATTGGTTGTGCCAACACATGCATTCCCCTACCACCACTTGGTGCAAATATCTAACCCATCTCTTTGATACCTAGAGGCATTGTCATTTTGGTATGATTCTTCAACTTGGAAATCTTTATCTTCGCGCCTATGCCGATATAGAATGGGCTGGAGACCAAACCGACCACAAAACCACCATGGGGGTGTGCTCCTTTCTCGGTAATACACTCATGTCTTAGATGGTAAAGAAACAATCCGTAGTGGCACAATCGTCAACAGAAGTTGAATACTTCTTCAGAAATTTGGGATTGATCTCCTACAACCAACTCCACTTTATTGTGACAATATCTCAGCTATTTCGCTCGCCAACAATCCTATTTTCCACGCCATGATGAAGCACATTGAGATTGACTATCACTCTATATATGATCACATCAACCCCAATCATATCAAACTAGAATACATACACACTCAGGATCAACCCGCCTATGTACTTACAAAATCTCTTCTGAAGAGACAATTTTAAGAATCTAGCACCAAGCTTAAATTTCTTCCTCGAACCATCAATTTGCACAAGGGCATTAGCGAAAATCAGCCACCACTACCACAATGATTTCATAATCGGTGGTCCCATAGAAATATAGGCGTCTCTAATAACCAATCCTGTCCCTTATGCTTCTCTAGACTTTTCCAGCATAAGTATTATATAGTGCTCACTTAAGCTAGGGCTGCTAATAAGCAATCCGGGGGATTTCATTCTCACGTGGTTCTACCTGCTCATTGAATCTGTATCGCACAGAAGGTAAGTTCTGAAAGAAGTTTTCTCTCCTCTTCAAAAAGCATTACAAATTAATAAACAGCAAATCATAACCAAGGCAACCAACAATAAATCTTACTGAATTCCGCCACCGGATATGCAAATACCGCTCTCTGTGCAGGTGCTTTGGCTACCATTTACACCATTGCTTGCAATCACTCCTCGGTCAACATAATTCAGCATATTGATAACGCAGAACATCACGAGTAGCCTGCAAACGATTCAGCGTTAATATCCATACCGCAACCCCTTCCCCAACACCACATCAGCGAAAAAGAAAAAAGTTGTTTCCAAACACCCCGAGCCCAAAAAACGAAACATTTCAAAGAAAACCCTAGAGGTTCAGCGGAGCCTCTCCGGCAACTGAAGGAAAAGGAGCAAGCGCACCTTTTAGGCGAGAACCACGAAGGCTTCTCCTCACCGCTAGGGCTCCGCTCCTGCTCGTCGCCGCGTAGGGGGATCGCGATCGCCATTCCCGGCAGGGGAGAATCAGCGGTATCGGTCGGCTCGGCAGAAGACTTAGCTTCTCCCATTTAAACAAAGTTGAAAATGACAATTTATATAGGGAAACTTGACGTCCACGTTAGAAGGAGAAAACGTTAAGACGTTTGTCACCGGTTTTGTTCTCTTGTGCCGTAAGTTCCGTACCTATCGTCTTCTTCCCTCTGCGTTTAAATGAAAGCGGAGAAGATGGACGAGAAGAAGACGAAGACAAATGGATTCGAGATCCCTGCTGTTCTTCGCAGATATTCTTCGGAATCTCTCCGGATTTGGAAATTGAACGATCGTAGATAGTTGTGCTGAATTGGCAGCTGGGTGGGAGGAACGGTGGAGATGAAATAGGGGAGGTCTGGGTGCCGCTTAGCTCAGCCAAAACGAGGTGCATGACTGAAAAATAACAAATAATTAAAAAAATTATTGTGTAAATATTTGTGATTTATTTTATTTACACTTTTCCCCATATAGTTAATAAGTTGTCTTTTTATTTTTAATGTTGAGATAATTATAGGCTAATCATTATAAATATTATATTTATATATTTTATAATTGTAAAATTAATGTATTTATTCGTGTCAAGGTCAAATTATTACGAATTTGATAAAAAAAAATAAAAAAATATGAGACAATTTTACGATGAATTATGATGTTTGAGTGAGAATTTGAAAATTAGATGAAAAACAATGGTTAATTTATAAATCATGAGTTTGAGTAATTGCCTCTTCAATGTTTAATTAGAAAAATTTACATATATACCGCTCAATTCCTATATAATTTAATATTTATACAAATGACATCTTACTTATACATGAAAATGTATATTTCACATTTTATAATTAAAATAATATTGTTGAGACAATATAAAAAAGATTTAAGCAGTATAAATGTAAGAAAAAAAAAAATTTACATATATAAAATATAAATGCATGAAACTTCGGTAGTATGTATGTGGATGCCCCCATTTGATCGAGTATTTAAAGAGTGAAGTACACATTTGCTATTTAATAACTAATACCAATGTATTAGATGAAGTACAATAAATTTTTAAATGATGAAGTATTTTGAGATGGGTGCATAGAAATTTTGATTGGTTACTCACACATAATGCAAATTTAAAAATAAACAGAACAGTTTTCGGAAACAAAGTTGAGATTTTGATTCGAATGTTCACACGCAAAAAAAAAACTCTAAATTATAGCCATGGATAATGATACAGATGTTATCTAATAGTATTATTATTATTATTATTATTATTATTATTATTATTATTATTATTATTATTATTATTATTATTCATGTGTCATCAACAAATTTCTAATATTCAATATGAAAATTTTTAATATTCAATCAGCAAAAGTATAGCAAAACTAAACGGTTTCAGAAGATGGACCTAAAAGTACAAAAATCTATTCAATCTGAACCAAATCAAACTCAGATCAAGCTGTTAAATCGCTTTTGAAAACTTTTATGACATAATTGGAAAGTCAAACATATTTCAATTATGACATGTTTATAGTTAAATCGAGTATCTCGACAGAGATAAACCCTAAACAGATTTCAATCATCACAAATCACCATTACGGCTCATGTGGTTTACAACTCGTGTAGCTCTTGACTCAATTTTTGTGACTTATAGATGTCATCACAACTCATTATAATGGCCTATGTGACCAACTACGACATACGTGGTTCACATCTAGTTCAGCTCCTAAATCCAACATCTACAGGCTACGGACATAATCATAGCTCACCACTATGTCTCGTGTGACCAACTACTACCTACATGACTCACATGTCCTGCAACTTCCTACTAAGACCTCTATGGCCAAACGATGCTTCTGAAGGAACCATCAGCCGCCCACATGACTAAATATCATCATGACTTTCAAGTGCAGTTTATATGACAGGCTAGCGTTACAAACATTGTCTCCAACATTCACGACAAACTACTGCTTCCATAACAATCGACTGCGGCTCTTGCAGTCCACTACCATCGAAAATTACATTCATTACAGTTATACTACAAGTATAATTGATGACCACTAAACATTTTTGTAACTTTATCTTTTTTTAATTCATGAGAAGAGTAGACATTTGTAATTACCATTCAGAATTGATTATCAACTTAGCTAAGCCCTATAATTTTTCCCCTTCTCAAAGTTTTTCATATAAAAATTGAGGTGTCTCCTCCTGCTTACTTCTCTTTAACAACATTAGAGTATGTTGGGTTTTCATGTAACAAACATTATGACACTAAATCTATGACTTTACTGACATGAACCTTTCAACATGCATCATCATCATCATCAGCATCATTCGAAGGATTTACATATATATCATATAATTATTTTGTATTATATATTGAACAAAAAAAATTGATATTTATTTATATAATACTTTAGTGTGCTAATTAAATTAGAGCATATTTTTGCAAAGGTGTATTTTATGTAATATTAAAAATTTGGGTATTATATAAATAAATATTAAAATTTAGGTATTACTTTAAAAAGGATAATTACATACTAACTACCTGAAATATTAATATTTATAACTTGTGTGGTGTACATATAAATACTCTTACTCAGTAATACTAAAAACCCTAAACTTAGACACAATATTAAGAGAAGATTGGATTTTGCAAATTTTTTTTTTCTTTTTTTCCTTCTTCGCCTTAAAAAGTTAGAAATGTAATGTTTTTTATTGAATTGAATAATATATCCTACAATAAAGAAAAAAAAATATATATATAAAATATAAATGCATGAAACTTAGGTAGTATGTATGTGAATGCCCCCATTTGATCGAGTATTTAAAGAGTGAAGTACACATTTGCTATTTAATAACTAATACCAATGTATTAGATGAAGTACAAAAAATTTTTAAATAATGAAGTATTTTGAGATGAGTGCATAGAACTTTCGATTGGTTACTCACATATAATGCAAATTTCAAAATAAACTCAACAGTTTTCGAAAACAAAGTTGAGATTTTGATTCGAATGTTCACACGCAAAAAAACTCTAAATTATAGCCATGAATAATGATGCATAATAATAATAATAATAATAATAATAATAATAATAATAATAATAATAATAACATTATTATTATTAATATTATTCATGTGTCATCAATAAATTTCTAATATTCAATATGAGAATTTTTTCTCAAAAAAAAATATTCAATCTTTGATTAAAAATCATATTAAACTCTGATTTTAGCAAACGTATAGTAAAACTAAACGGTTTCACAAAATGAACCTAAAAGTACAAAAATCTATTCAATCTGAACCAAATCAAACCCAGATCAAGCTGTTAAATCGCTTTTGATAACTTTTATGGCACAATTGGAAAGTCAAACAAATTTCAATTATAACATGTTTATAGTTAAATCAAGTATCTCGGCAGAGATAAACCCTAAACAGATTTCAATCATCATAGATCACCATTACAACTCATGTGGTTTACAACTCGTGTAGCTCTTGACTCAATCTTTGTGACCTATAGATGTCATCACAACTCACTACAATGGCCTACGTGACCAACTACGACCTACGTGGTTCACATCTAGCTCAACTCCTAAATCCAACATCTACAGGCTACGGACATCATCATAGCTCACCACTATGTCTCGTGTGACCAACTACTACTTACATGACTCACAGGTCCTGCAACTTCCTACTAAGACCTCTATGACCAAATGACGCTTTTGAAGAAACCTATGTGGCCCACATGACTAAATACCATCATGACTGTCAAGTGCAGTCTATATGACAGGCTAGCGCTACAAACACTGTCTCCAACATTCACGACAAACTACTGCTTCCATAATAATCAACTGCGGCTCTTGCAGTCCACTATCATCGAGAATTACATTCATTACAGTTATACTACCATTATAATTGATGAACCACTAAACATTTTTTTGTAACTTTATCTTTTTTTTTTAATTCAGGAGAAGAGTAGATATTTGTAATTATCATTCAAAGTTGATTATTTCAACTTGGCTAAGCCCTATAATTTTCCCCCTACTCAAAGTTTTTCACATAAAAATTGAGTTGTTTCCTCCTGCTCACTTCTCTTTAACAACATTAGAGTATGTTGAACTTTCATGTAACAAACATTAAGACACTAAATCTATGACTTTACCGACATGAACCTTTCAACATGCATCATCATCATCATCAGCATCATTCGAAGGATTTACATATATATCATATAATTATTTTGTATTATATATTGAACAAAAAAAATTGATATTTATTTATATAATACTTTAGTGTGCTAATTAAATTAGAACATATTTTTGTAAAGGTGTAATTTATGTAATATTAAAATTTTGGGTCTTATATAAATAAATATTAAAATTTAGGTATTATTTTAAAAAGGATAATTACATACTAATTACCTGAAATATTAATATTTATAACTTGTGTGGTGTACATATAAATACTCTTACTCAATAATACTAAAAACCCAAAACTTAGACAAAATATTAAGAGAAGATTGGATTTTGCAAAAATTTTTTCTTTTTCCTTTTTCGCCTTAAAAGGTTAGAAATGTAATGTTTTTTTATTGAATTGAATAATATATCCTACAATAAAACGTGTATATAAAGAGATCAGAGTAATTATACAACCAAAAGGCTTTGTATAACCAAAATGTGTTTGACCAAATCCTCCATAGAACTGACGATTCAGAGCAAGGAACAGTCGAAAGGGTTGTTTCATGAAAGAATGTAAGGCCCTCTGAAGCAAGATAATTGCATGTGAATAACCTAAGGTTGACCGATGAGAAGCTAGCCAATCGAATGCCAACCGATCAAAGGCTGGCCAACTAGAGGTTAGCCGACCAACCAGAGGTCAATAAATCAAAGGTTAGTCAACTGAAGGACGACAAACCAGGGAAAGCCGACCAACCAGATGTCAGTTGATTAGAAGCCAGCTGACAATAAGTCGATCAATCACAGGTCAACAAACAAAGAGTTTAACAATCAAAAGTCAAGAATTATTTGACATTTACCTAAAATATTGCCTTAAATTAGAATAAGGGCAAAAATAGAATTTTATACAACACAATAAATATTGATATATTTAGCTTTCTTGTCAAAAATAATTTACGAGCAAGCTGAATAACACATGCATATTATCTAATTCCATCAAGCAAATTTTATATTCGAACTCCGAATGTAAATTTGTGTCAAGAGTAAAGTAAGAACTTGCCACGTGACAAGTGGACCCCACTATAATACACTGGTTGGATAGAATTTTAGAAGAGTTGGGGCCCACTTGCCAAATTTTAGTCAGATGTAAGATTTTGTGCCTATCAGGCCTAAATATCACTTTCAAATTCAAGACATGTTCAAGAGTTTTTAGGCATCATCGAAACCAAACGTTTGAACTGAACATACCGACTTTAAATAATAATAATAACAAAACATATCATATTTGTGAAAACTCAAGATAGTGGGCCAACAAAATTTCGTGGGTCGATCAAAAAGCCCAAAGAGCAAACTGTGTTGGGATTTAACCGGGCCACCCAAAAAACCCATATAGCTCCTTTCTGCTCCTTTCTGCAGTCTTCCTCATAAACAACTTCGAAAGAAAGAAAACCCTAATGCAGAAAACTCTCCTTTACGAGCTGAATCCTCCTCAGACAAGCCTTCGCCCTTCTAATCGCCATCTCCGCCCTCTCTTCCGACGACAACCTCATCTTCTTCTCCATCTCCAACCCAAACCCTAATTCCTCACCGCGCAATTCCCCTCTTCTCCTCTTCCTCGACGACACTACAAATCAGCGGCGAATACATAGACGAAACAGTCAAAGCGTGGCAAAAATGGGTTCAATCGGAGCAGGTAAAGGAGAAAACGAACCTTGCGTGCCGGCAGAGGGAGAGCTGGAGGAGGAGAGGAGATTGGGGAAAGAAGGATCGAGATCGTAATCGGAGATGAGTGATTGGAGCTCGAGCTTCAGGTAATCGAATCGCGATGGATGATGAGCTTCTAAATTCTTCAGCTCCTCTTTGGCTCTGTCCATCATCCAGGTATCTCTAGCCATCGTCTCTCTCTCTCTCTCTCTCTCTCTCTCTCTCTCTCTCTGTGATTGAGTAGGAGGAGGGTGAGGTTAGAGAGAATCAGCCATTAAAGGAGGTTCGCGGAGCTGCCATTAAAAGGAATGAAACGACAGCAGAGAATCGGGCAGTCGTGTTGAAGGGGAGACCCTGCAGGTGGCCTCGGAAAGAAAAGACGGCGTCGATATCCGCGCGATTTCCGCCCAAGAAGACGACAAATTTTCGAGTATAATTGAAATTTTCTTGACAATTTTTAATTATTTTACATCTTAGTGGAATAGATGCCAACGTTATTCTTTCAAAGTTCTTTGAGAAATTTTTTTTTTTTTTTAATTCTAGAGAAATTTTTGTTTCAGTCTCAAGTTATTAAAGTGCAGCAGTTAACAAAGATCCATAGTCCAAATTTTTAAAAATAAAATAAATTTTTAATACTCATCAAATAAATAAAATTTCATGATTGTGATTTAGCATGAATATTCAGATAAGGTATGATATAATTAAAAGAGTGTTTCGTACCATTTGGTTCGTCGCGTGATATTAAAGCTTTCATCAAATAATTTAGAGATCAAACGATAACGAATCTGACAAATTTATAGTCAAATCGAGTGTGTCGTCGATATGATTCTAATAAGTCTAGGATCGCTCAATTCTGACTTATTAAAGCACTCAAATGTTCATCAAAATAGCGTCTGATCGCGAGAATCTCTCCGGGGAGTCCAATTGAGTCATCTAAAGTCCTTCCTTATTTGTATAGAAACATCTCTCACTACATCAATAGTACCCTACTCTTCTCTTGAGAGAGGAAAAGATCTTGAGCCAGAAGAAGCTTGAAGCTTAAAGGAACTAAAGTCCAGGATCACTTCTGCACCGCAGATCCAGCGAATACCTCCCACTTAAGCAATCGTCGACCATTGTCGTCCATCGCCTGTCGGGCACCGTCGACCGCCCCTGACTCTTCATAAAATCCTTTACGAAATCCTGACATGTGCTATGAAATCCTGGCGCATATTATAGACTAACGAGAATCCTGCAAAAAAACACACCCCACATACGGTGCAAGGACGTGCCCCAATAATGTTAGTTTTATCCAAGCTTCTAAAGTTCTCTCCTTGCAGCTCACTACTATAACCTACATAACCAACTCAGGTCTACATAGTCCATAGACCGTGCACCTTCTAACTACAACCTTTGCATCCTACGAAAGTTATCACAGTTCATCATTACGACCTTCGCGATCAACTAAAACATAATTCATCCACAACAGTATTTGCATCTTGCGGACGTCATCATAGCTCACCACTACAACTTACGCGATCAACTACGACCTATATAGTCCACAGCTCATGCATCTCCTAACTTCGGCCCCTACGGCCAATGAATGTCATAATAACTCACCAATACGACCTTTTTTATCAACTATGATATATTTGGTTCAAAACCCGTGCAACTTTCGACTCTGGTCTTTGTAGCATACAAAAGTAATCACAACTTACTAATAAATTTTATGTATTCAACATATGCTTTTAAAACAACCATATATGGTCCGCAACCAACAATTATGATTTACATAACCAACTACGACCTATGTGTTCTACAGTACGGCTTTTGCTTCTAGCCTTTGTATCCTACAGACACAACTCACTGTTACAACATATGCGACCATCTGCAACATACGTGGTCCACAGCTCTTGCAGCTTCTTGCTCAGTTCCCTGCAGCTTACGGATGTCATCACAACTCACTATTACGGCCTATGTGATCCACAGCTCGTGCAGCTCCCAACTCCAGCTCTTGCGGCTTACGAACGTCTTCACATCTCACTTTACGACCTATGTGACCAACTACGACATACATAACTCCTACAGCTTCTTAATAAATTTTATGTATTCAACTGATGCACTTAAAACAACCATATATGGTCCGCAACCAACAATTACTATTGCTTTCAACTAAGATCTATACACAAAATAATAAAATTATATTTATTACGATGGTTTTTTTTTTTAAGATTTTTACAACCTATTGAAGATATTTTCATGATGTTTTTTCTAAGAAGTTGAGTTTTGGTGATTAAATTAAAAACTGATAATTAAGATATGCATGAACTTAAGTTTCTTGATTATAACATTATAACATAATTATTGAAAACGAAATTTGAATCCGCACCCGCAATCGAGATTCATCATCTTTCAATCGTGAGTAATTTACAAACTCTAAAATTTTGCTTGTATTTTTGGTTGAAGTAAAAAAATTGAAAAAATAATTTTGAGATAGAATTTAGGCGCTCACCTTGCTTAGAATAAAAGCAATTTTCATGTATTTATAGTTTAATTCAATTTGTGTCCATTCTTTCATTAAAATAGTAAAACTTATATTTAAAAAAAAATATTTATAGAGTCTCTTTGGTCCGGCGCCACAGTTTTGTATGTTTACTTAGTACCTGTTTGGCACAGTTGTGGTGAAGCGGCGCTGCTAAAATCACTCGTTTGGCACGGTAATGGGGGAGCGGCGCAGGCGGAAATCAATAAAAACCGGGCCGTTGGTTATACCCCATGGCCAACTTTTGCGTCTAGCTTTTTGCATGGCTACCAGAATCTCCTATGGCCGAAACACTCTCCCACATCACTTCTCTCTCCCGGTCCCTTCACTCTCTGCCCTTAACCCTCCTCGACGGAATCCGGAAAATTTTGTCAAACAGTTGGCGGGTGAGATTTACATGGCGGCATCGAGAGTAGAGAAGGACCAAGCGGTTGGAGAGGTAGGTGTCGGGAGAAATGAAAAACTTGAGGTGGAGGGTGTGGAGGTTGTGGCCGACGACGAGGTCTAAATTTGTGATACAAGTTTTGAGCAGACTGCGGAAGAGAAGAAAGGTAATTGTTGAGCTCCGGAAGTGGGCAAAGCCGGGCTCATCTACCGTCTGCCTGTATTGTTCATGTAAGGATTGGGGAGCGGCGCAGGCGGAAATCAATAAAAAGCGGGCCGTTGGTTATACCCCGTGGCCAACTTTTGCGTCTAGCTTTTTGCATGGCTGCCAGAATCTCCTATGGCTGAAACACTCTCCCACATCTCTTCCCTCAATCGGTCCCTTCACTCTCTATCCTTAACCCTCCTCGACGGAATCCGGAAAATTTCGTCAAACAGTTAGCAGGTGAGATTTACATGGCGGCATCAAGAGTAGAGAAGGACCAAGCGGTTGGAGAGGTAGGTGTCGGGAGGAATGAAAGACTTGAGGTGGAGGGTGTGGAGGTTGCGGCCGACGACGAGGTCTAAATTTGTGATACAAGTTTTGAGCAGACTGCGGAAGAGAAGTGTTGAGCCCCGGAAGTGGGCAAAAGCCAGGCTCATCTACCGTCTGCCTGTATTGTTCATGTAAGCTTCCTCCAAAAAATCCCTTCTTTGTTGAACACTTTTGAATCAAATTGTATTCAAACATTCAAAGTGGATGAACCAAGATGTAATTTTTCTCTCCTCTTCTTCTTCTCCCCTCACATCTTTATCTAAAGAAGAATTTTTGTCAGCTTTCATCACAATATTTTACTGTCGGATGGTTTTGATAGCATTAGTTTGAAACTAATATATAAAGGTTTTTACAACTCGAAGCTTCTTCATATGAACGCAAATAATAATAATAATAATAACAACAATAAGAAGTATTAATATTTCTCATACAGTATTGAAGTATGCCTAAAAAAAGGAGAATTGATAATGCATTACAAGATGGATTTACGTATGAAAGGTAGCTCTTAGAAGCTCCCCGACTCTAATAAAATGGAGGATTGAAAAAGTTGATAAGATGATTCTTTGTTTATTGTTGCTTAAATTTTTGTTATAATTCTCAATCCCTTTCTTTATGGTAATATTCACCTATGTGTTTCTGGTAATGCTTAATTTTATGTAATTGGCCTTGCATGTACCTAGCCTTACTGACATCCTTAGATGGAATTCCCAAAATTTTGGGAGTGCAATGATGAAAACATTAATTTGTGTTACAATGTACTGTTTTTAAGTGATTTTTTGCCTTAAAAGTATTAAATTTATGGTTATCACAGCTCTGTTCCGCACAATGTTACAAAACAGGGGCAGAATGGTCATTTTTACAGAAACAGCTGCCCCACAGTTGTTTTCACACAACAGCCTCCAAACATGCAGTCAGCTTCCCCGCAACAGTTTCCCCACAACAGCTTCCCGGTGCACCGCCGAATTGGCCTTGCATGTACCTAGCCTTACTGACATCCTTAGATGGAATTCCCAAAATTTTGGGAGTGCAATGATGAAAACATTAATTTGTGTTACAATGTACTGTTTTTAAGTGATTTTTTGCCTTAAAAGTATTAAATTTATGGTTATCACAGCTCTGTTCCGCACAATGTTACAAAACAGGGGCAGAATGATCATTTTTTACAGAAACAGCTGTCTCACAGTTGTTTTCACACAGCAGCCCCCAAACATGCAGTCAGCTTCCCCGCAACAGTTTCCCCACAACAGCTTCCAGGTGCACCGCAGCTGCAGCTGAGAAACTAAAAAAGTGCAAGTGCACCAAATAGAGCCTTAAATTGTGTTTTGACAGCTTTTCCAAAAAACTACCGATGAAATATGTACTTTCCCACCACTCTTAGCTAGATACGGTGGCAGATTTCTAGTTGTGGTCTGACTTTTTAAAAAAATTTGCAATAACCACGCCACTTTCTGAACATTATATTATTATTCAATAACTTTACATCTATTTTTTAATAAGTTGTAGTTGCCTCAAACAGACCCATATAATGTCCCTCAACCTTCTCCAAATAACCTAAAACTTGTTGCCAGTGAAGACCAGAGTTGTGCTAGATCCTATTTGGCTAACACAGATCAATCAATCTGTGCGCATCTTCAAAGAGCACTCTCACTACAAGTTGACAAATTGTGAAGAAATTGATCAAACTGCTGCATCTCTAAGCTCCTGCATCCTTTATAGGAGGAAAAATAAATAAAGAGCAATTATATGCATACCACACTTCTTTTATGAACATATATTAAAAGTAATGGCCGGTTAGACAAGCCTCGGTCATCCCTCAGTGTGCAAAATATTCGAGTACCACACCCTACACATGGGGAGAATCAAACCCGTGACCTAAAGGGACTTACGACTTTCAGAGAGACAGTTCTACCAACAGGTCACGGAACGCACACACCACACAATTCTTATATATTTACATATCCAATATCTAAACTTTCATACCTACATACATAACTCTCAAATCTTTGTCAGCACATAATGTCGCATTCACCAACTTTTTAAAAGTTAAATACACATTTTTAATGCACAAGTTTTTAATACCAGTGTTATTAAATGTAAATATCAAATCTTAGAAGTTAGAAATGTAAATGCATAAGAATTGTGTGTTATATAAGTAAATTTTCCTAAACATTTTTCAAAAATTACTGTAACACATGCAAGTTGGGAAACCAGCAATGATGCCGCCTTTGTTCATCAAAAAGAGAGATTGTCAAAGATGGTAGCAATGAGACCACTATTGTCAACCATCGATCGACGCGGCGGTGGACCTTGGCTCAGATGGGACGAGAAGGTGTGATCAACCGATCAATTTTTGACACGAGGATGGAATGATTTGGATCATATCGAAAGCACCATTTCGACAGATTCTAACTCAAAAGGTAAAAACCCCCTTCTAAAATGAATAAATGAGTCATACTTCTACATTTGGTGGATAGATTTTGATAGAGACTTCAAACAATAAGAACATGTCTTCTCCAATACCACGTACATTGTTTATCGTATTTTGAATTTAGCTTTTGGGGCATTTACATGCATACCACCTAATTCCTATGTATTTACAAACAACTAAATTTTGCCTTTTTACAGCATACCGCCAAAATCTATCACATCACATCAAAAATATGACCATTTTAACTTCCCACTAATATAAGATAAAAGGGATGGATATACCCCATTGTACTGTATCTCTGCTTCATAGAGCAATTTATTCAAAACGGTGACATTGGAGACAACAATGTGACACTTTTGCTTCCTGCTCCCTTCAAAAGTTCTCATAACATCGCACTAAGTGAACCCCAAAAATTTCTATTGATTAAAAAAATGGGGCATTTACATACATACCACCAAATTCCTGTCCTTTTACATATCTAACATCCAAACTTTACATTTTCTATCTATACCACCCAAATCTTTCATATCACATCAAAAGAACCACCATTTTAACTTTTGAAAAGTGAAATACATCAGAACCACCATTTTAACTTTTGAATAGTGAAATACATCTTTTCATGTAAAGAGTGATATGGCATGTATGTAAAAATTAAAGCTTTGGTGATTAAAGAGTAATATGGCATGTATGTAAAAATTAAAGCTTTGGTGATAGATATGTAAATCCATAGGAATTGAAAGGTATGTATGTAATTATTGAAAAAGTAATTAAATAAAAAAAGGACAAAACATACCAGATAAGCTATGTTTTCCATATCTCCTCAACTCCATCTCCTCTGATCTTCTTCTTGATCAACTGGAACATACCAAGATGGCCTTCTCCTTGAATTACTCAACCTATAATTCAAATATACTTCTTCCTCGCATAATGGCCTCGTCGCAACCAACACAAGCGTCTTCATGACATCTCTCGCTTCATCACCACCGCCTTTTAATCTGAACCAGAAGCTCCCAACCCTCTTCATTCTCACACTCTCTTCCCCACCAAACACAATATTCGGTATATAAACCCTCATATCCTTCTCCATAACCGGAAAATCATAGGGACAAACCATAATATTAGGTTCGCAACCATTAGCCGGATGGTTGGCAAAATGACCGAACGAAAGCGGGTTTCGAAGCTCGAGTACTTCGCCGGAGTTTGTTCTACTGCTGCTTTCGAGAGGCTTGCTAAGAATTTTCCATAAACGATCCGACTCTTTACTAATATTCAAAGATGAATCTGGATTTAAGTTTGGCTTGTAAGAACCTTCCCAGATTTCCCTGGATTCTCCGCCGACTCCCCATGGTTGCGCGTTGATTATAATGTCATCGTACCTTGTTATAAGATACGAGTTGCAGGAATCAACCCTCGGGTATCCAGGAATGTAACGGTAATAAGCCGGAGAATATATAATCCCAGGGTAGAAAGCTATTACAGAGCCTACGTTGCATTCTCCGGATAAATACAGACCGAGACCGGCTTCCTTGTGGGGAATCTGAGACGGTTTTACATCAAGGGTGTATCGGATTCGATCTTTGAGATTAGATGAAAGCTCGATGCGAGATAGTAGCTTTGTTCGAGTCACAGCTGTACTGCATGAACTAGAGATCAGTTTGATGAATAATAAATTGTTCCTATAAAATGTCTTTAAGCATATGCAAGAAATGAGCAAAAGCCTCTCTGAGTGACCAATTTAGTGTTGGAGTTTTGAAGTGCTTCATTTTAATGCCGGAACATTAAAAACTGATCCAAATTAGTCCATAGGTTGGATTTCAAAGTTAACATCAACTATTAACTTTGAGGGTATTAAAGAATAAGAATTTAAAATAAAATTTTATTTTTTATTATTACTCTATTTTTATATGTAATCAATTTATGAATGATAAAAAATTTTATCTCATGAAGTAAATAATCGAATATGGTTATCCCTTTTTTAAAGAATCTGAATATTTTAACAATAGATCAATACAGACCCATAAAAAAAAGTATTTAAATAAAAAGAATGAAATTAAAATACTTTATAAAATAAAAGAGAAATACTTTATAGCATATAAAAATATAGTAATAATAAAACTTTTTTTTAAAAAGTCTTATTCACAAAATACCATCAAAATTAACGACTGATGTTACTTCAACCATGAATTCAGCCTATGAATTAATTTGGATCAATCTTTAATAGTTCAGGACTAAAGTGTAGCATTTTATAACTTCTGAACTAAATTGATCACTTGTCAATATTTGGAGGATAAATTTGGATCAAATTTCAATAGTCTGGGATTAAAGTGGTGACTTTTTAATAATCGGAGAACCATCTTGGGCTTTTCTTCAACAAGAAAATAATAGGACGACTTACCAGGTTTTGGTGTAGATGAAGTAGAAGCGCCGACGGCGAAACTGAGCCCGCTGCGCTTAGGAATGTTTTCATGGCTGAGGGGCGAATTCGACAAATCATATAAATTGTTGGGATCAGGTTTAAGGATATCATCCATCTGGCTACATATGTTTTTGATCTGATAATGTATATTTTCTTGAACTTGTCTCTGCTGATCAGCAACAGAGGCTTTGCTGGCCATTTCAATGATCTCCTCTGCATCTTTCTCATCAGCATTTCTTCCCAAACGGTTAAAGCTGATCCTTGGCAAAACCAATGAGGATGAGCAAAATGTCTAATAATGTTTTTTAAATAGACAAGATTTAAATAAAATGTATCTAGTTTCCTTTTGAAAAAACTACTGCTATTGTTAGGTGTATGGTTGGAAGTGGCATTCAATTTGAATTTGCTCTAAACATGATATCTTTTTAGCTATTCCATTAATATACATTGGTTTTAGACTATTGGAAATATTTGTGTGGTTTTTAATTGCTTAACTTGCCATAATATTGGTTACTATACGACCCCATCATGACAAGTTTAAAATGTATTTGCGGATGGGCTCTCCACTATGACTGCATATCTTGCCTTATAAGAACAAAAAAAAATCCTCTAATCGTACAAGCGAAAAGTGTGTTATATCTACATTTTGATGGTTTTTCTCCATCCCTCTGCATTTTGATGGGTTTTCTCCATTCCTTGGTGGACAACACCGTAAATAATATTTTGCACATTGGCATGGTGTTTTGGCTCATAAGAAAAACTTTATGATAGGATGAAAATATCTCAAATGACACAAATTGAGAGAATAAAATGGGTGTTCCGTGCACTCTACTGTAAATATATAAGAATTGTGTGGTACGTATATAAATGCCCAATTAAGAAACAAATCAAAGCTTGTAGCATGGCCAAAATGAAAGAAAAAAATTTTACTTTAGTTTTAAGCTTGCTCCTAGAAGTGTGAGAAGAATACAAACGTAACACGAGTAAAAAGTCGCATGCGGTATAAGAGAGAGCGGATGAGCTTGGACTTGAAAGGAGAAGAGTAAAGTTGGAGTCCAGCCACACATTTCTTAGGAACTAAGCCATCAATTATCATTGTATTGCGGTCTAGAAAAAAAAAATAGGATGGAAAGAAAAAGTTTAAAATTAGGTTTGCCATAACACATAAAGAGGTAGTAAAAAAAGCGTATCTAAAGTTAGACATTTATGTTGAGTACTATTTGAGCACAACCTGAAATAGCATAGTGACGTGGGGCACACCAGGGAAGAGCTGAACCGGTTAAGCATTGTCTGCAACGTCCAGCCAGCCCTAGGGTGGGCTAGGTTTGCCGCCCAAGGGAGGAGCCTGCCCCTCCTAGCTGCTGGCGTTCCCCTTTTCCCTTCTAGGGCTGTATCTGAGGACGAGTAGTGCTCCGGCTACATCCTGCTCTAAGGTGGTAGTTATCTCCTAGTGTTTTCCTCCCATTTCTCTTCCGACCTACTTGCTGTTGCCTTACAAACCTAACCCCTTGCCGCTGCAACCTTCCTGCACTGTTACAGTGCAGGTTGCCGTCCCTACTGCACCACCCAAGTGCTGCGGCCAATCATCCTGCTCGCTTCCCAGTAGCCGCCTCAATTCTCTGGTGCCGCCACCTCTCCCAAACAGCCTGGCCGTCGTACCGCCGGCTGTCTTGCCTCCTCCCTAACAGGATATTCGTGTTTGTTGCGTTTTCTTTGCTTTTTTAGTCTTGATTGTAACCCCTATTGCTTTTGTGTAATAAAATTTATTTTTCTATCAAATTTTGGGATCATTTAGGTATCAATTAGTATTAGAAACAATCTAATCTTAATCCCATCCTAGTATTTTCTAGCACCCACCAAACCATAGCCAAATTTTGATATAACCATAATTGCTCATTTGTTGATTTTCAAAATTAGCAACCCTAAATGATTTTTCTACACCTTAAACCAGCTCCATACACCCTCTTTCCC